AAGTTGTCAAAAATTTTAGTTTTCTTAATAAAAGCTGTATGTATGGATTGCCATTTTGTTGTCTATTAGACGTATATATGTAGTAGTTTAATAGCCGTCTAATTGATGACTAGTCTATTCTTGGGCTATGATTAGACGTCTATTAGATTTTCACTGACAGCCCAAATTTAGCCTCGTTTTAGCCTAGAAGTCTAGGCTATATTTAGACGTCTAATAGATGTCTTTTAAACGCAAAGTTGCTTGCTGGGAAGTAAAAGTACGCAATTTTTAAACTACTCAAAAAAAGTACAATTACTGATAAAAACTACTTAATTACTGTAACGTGAGTATTTGTAATTCGTTACTTCACACCCCTGGACGGCACACATTCACTGCAGTGGATCCATTGGTGAGGAAGTGATGGAATGCTAAAATGATCCAAATCTATTCTGATAATGAAATAAACTAAAATCTATATCTTGGATGGCCCGAGGTCGAGAACATTTGCAAAAAAAAAAGTAAACTATTCCTTTGTTTATATATATATATAATTAGTGAGTGAGAGAGAGTGTCTGCTATCAATTAAAATTAGACGAAAGTGCCTATACCAAGTTTATAAATGATTAATTAATAAAAAAAAAAAACGTGTGGGCAGTGCTCCCATTGCACAGCTGCATCTTGTGAACTGCCGTGAGACTGGGTTGTCCTTTACTGATCCTGTTCCCCTTTCTTCTTTCCTGTTGTTTCCTCTCTTTCTATTGTTCTATCAAAGTAAAGGCAAAAAAGCCCATAAATAGAAACAACGAAGTGATACAGCATGCCCATATTAGCGTTAATTTGCATTTTAAATAGGAATATTAACGAGCTGTTTCATAGGCCTTTAGAGAATGTCAAGCTATGTCACGCCGCGTTGCATGCTGAGGCCCCATAAATAGAAACAACGAAGTGATACAGCATGCCCATATTAGCGTTAATTTGCATTTTAAATAGGAATATTAACGAGCTGTTTCATAGGCCTATAGAGAATGTCAAGCTATGTCATGCCGCGTTGCATGCTGAGGCGCTGCCATTCTGGGAGGATCACCCTCTGCTACAAATGCTGAAATTAATACGGATACCTGCTTATCTTTTGTTTTGTTTTTGCCTTAAGTTAAATATTCACATTCTTCATTGGATCGTTTGTAGGGAAGATAAGCTATTTTATTGCTTCGCATGATAATTAGATTTTTTTTTACCTCTCAAGATTTGTAGAATTTCGGTTGTAGAATTTTCGTTTACTTTGATGTGATTAGCGTGAAAACAGTGCAGTGAAAACAGCTGTACACTCGCTGCTGCTTCAGCCATCAGGGCCGTCCTTAGGGGGGTGCAACTGGTGCGGTCGCACCGGGCCCCGACTTGAGGGGGCCCCTGCGGTGAACCTAAAATTAAATCCCTGTAAGCTTGTGAACAGTTTTGTAGCATTTTAAAATGCTGGTTTAATATGGTAAGACAGTGATGCTAAAAGACATGCAGATGAGGCCAGAATATTAACACAACTTTTTTAATTACACATTAAGCATTTTCGTCCCTTTAGAAAATCGTAATGAAGAAAACACTTATGCATTAAGACAGTATTTAAAGTTCATATTTTGGGTTCATCCATTTTTCTGCAGATATTATGCTTTATTAGTAAGATGTGTACAGAATGTGGTCTTTTAATATCACTGTCTCAGTGCATTAAGCATTCTTTATAGGAAAACGCTTAACGTGTAAATAAACGCCTTGCGTTCACATTTTGGGCTTATGTGCGTATCTGCACTTAGTATATGCTTTACAATTTTGTTTTTATCACTGTCTTGGTACATTAAGCCACATGAAGCGTTAAGGGTTTTAATGTCCCTGTTCAAGTTCTTCTAATTCACCCCAAGTAGAATTCACAAGCCGTGACGTCAGCTTCACATTCTCTAATGTCATTCCAGAGACTTTTTGTACTACACATTATTCACAGTTTCTTAAAGACACCCATAAACCAGCCATAAAGATGTTTGATATTCAGAATATTATAGAGCGGTAGCCTACATTAATTTATGTTTTCTTCATAGAAAATGTTCCAGCATTCTAACTTACTGAGGTGTGACCTGAAAGGCCGCATACAGTGAAAAATATAGACAAATTGGGCACTAGTGAAATATGTTTTATAATGAAATATTTGCAATGTATATGTCAGCAAACAATTACTACTTTTGAATCATAAATGAAGAAAGAAACATTTTGCACCCCGATGATCTACCAGTAGGGCCTAGCATGGCTATGCTAAGTGCTAAACAACAAAACCTTGAGCTCTTCTGACGAAGAAAGTGCACAGGCAGGCAGTTAATAACGCACGACCTCGTGTGGTAGTGGTGCGAATCATCACAATAGTGATTTGACTCCAGATCAGCAGGTGTCGCTGTGTAAAACTCCGAAATTTATGTTGACGTCCCTGAGTTCGCGTTGCACTCTGGGAGGTTTGTCCTCTTTAGATGTCATTGTAAAATCGGCTTTATTTGAGAAATAAGAGAAAATCAGTATGACTGGATACTCAGCGGATGAAAAACTCCGCTTTGAGCAGTTAACAAAGCTTCGGCGGCAGTGGCTCAAAGATCAGGAGCTTAGTCCTCGAGAACCCACCGTTGCACCCAAAGCACCCGGCCGCATCGAGCGATTCTGGGCTGGATTTCTGCAGCCCAAGACACTCTGGAGACTATACGTGAGTTTATGCCATATATTATCTATATCTATATGTGTGTGTGTGTGTGTGTGTGTGTGTGTGTGTGTGTGTGTGTGTGTGTGTGTGTGTGTGTGTGTGTGTGTGTGTGTGTGTGTGTGTGTGTGTGTGTGTGTGTGTGTGTGAGTGAGTGAGTGAGTGAGTGAGTGTGTGAGAGAGAGAGAGAGAGAGAGATTAGACGCATCTAAAGTAAAAATGTATGCTGTGTTTAGGTATAGAGATTTTTAACAGCACAATACTAATATAACATGCAATTGTGTCTTCTCTTCTTTTTATGCGGATGAACCAGACATTTAAAGCCTATAATGCCAGTGTTTTTGCTGTCACGCGGATTCTGATCCCAGCCTGGATTGTGCATTACTACGTGAAGTACCACGTCAGTGTAAGTTCATGGTGCTGTTATACTGTTTCATCTACAGTTACACTGCTTTCATTTAACAGAACTGTAATTTCTGCATTGTACTAAAATGACACGGAAGTCCGAGCCGAGAGGTTAAAATTATGAGGCTAACTCTTAAGGCTTGTATAAGTTTTCATTATTTTCTGAATACCCGCTACATTAGATACATATCAAAACTGACAGAATGCTTGGTTCCAGTTGAGCATGCACATTGTTTTGTGATAAAAAGTAATGTAATTATGTAATATTAATATTATAATAATGTAGTTTATAATGTAGTTTTTTTCAGTGTAGTGTAATGTTGATAACAAATGCATTATTATTATTATTATTACGTTAACCCTAAACTATAAAAAATATTGAATCATAGCCTTTATGACGGGGGAAGTCGTGGCCTAATGTTAGAGAGTCAGACTCATAACCCAAAGGTTGCGGGTTCGAGTCTTGTAGGGCAGGGATTGTAGGTGGGGGGAGTGAATGTACAGCGCTCTCTTCCACCTTCAATACCACGACTGAGGTGCCCTTGAGCAAGGCACCGAACCCCCAACTGCTCCCCAGACGCCGCAGCATAAATGGCTGCCCACTGCTCCGTGTGTGTTCACAGTGTGTGTGTGTGTGTGTGTGTGTTCACTGCTGTGTGTGTGCACTTTGGATGGGTTAAAATGCAGAGCACTAATTCCAAGTATGGGTCACCATACTTGGCCACATGTCACGTCACCTTTGATATCTTATTTCAAAGAATGTCAGATTTATTCATCTTTTTGTTACATTTAATAAATGAAATCTAAATATTTTCATAAAGGCTTGTATTATGTGTGCAAAGGGTGAAGATAAAATGTAACACCAAATATATTTGGCTGATCATTGTCATGCCTAGATATAAAGTTCAAATAGATATGTCTTGTTTCCACAGAAAATGCCATATGGAATTGTTGCTCTTAAACCCAGACTGTTTCCTGTAAGTATATTTAGACCAGACAGTATTATTGCACTAATAATCAAAAGGAGTTTCGTAAATTACCTTCAAATAATCATTAATTTTGATGTTTATGTATGTTCTCATGCACACCTTCTTTGCATGTGTTTGTTTTTCAGGGAGACACCATTTTGGAAACAGGAGAAGTTGTCCCAGATCTTCCTGAAGCAGACAGTCATGGTCATCATTAAAGATGCCAGTGTATATTCACTATAGACATACCTGTTAGCACTGGTTGAAAAAAACATGCTTGTGTGTATACTATGTCAATAAAATTCATTATACAGATTCTGTATGCCTGTTCTGTGCCTTTGAATGACAGTATCACACTCTTGTGGGTACATTCTGAGATCCATAAAATTTAGCTAATTAAATTTTTTACGCCACACATCTCGCATGAAAGAAGAGTCTTGAATTATTTTAATAAAAAGCACATTGAAGAGCAAATAGTGACATTCTTGACAACACAGACTCTTTGACATTTGTTATTGCATGATTTTGAAAAACTTATCACAATTCAATGCTTTAAATGTCAAATCAGACAAAAACAATAATAAGTGGGGGCTTTGGAATCCAAAAAGCAGTAAACTATTGAAGTCTTTGTTTGAATATTAGAATACTAAATTAAAATATTTTCTTAAATGCTCCTCACAAGCTTTGTCATTGCTGTTTAGTCAGTTCTCAGAATTGTCTGTGAGTGTTTTAGTATTTTCGAAATAATGAAATGAAAAGCATAAACCACAACTAGAAGGAGCTTCATCTCTGATACATCATTAACGCTTCAAAATGTGAAAACTCATTTTTTTTGACGTTTGTCTCGCATATGGTTGATGGACTTTTATTTTGAAGTGAAAAACAGGAAGTTCTGAAAGTTTGACAGGATTTCACTTCCGCAATTTTCATGTTTTGTTACGTCATGATGAGCAACATTGCTTATGTAGACGGACTGAGAGTTATTGTATCTTTTTTTGGGTCATTATTAAGTGCTTTTTTATATATATTTGCAGCTGTAAACTTGTAACAATAATCCGTAAGATATAATGCATTACAGGCTTCTTGTATACCGTGTATTGATCTTTAAAACGGCGCAGGTTTGTTAGGCAGTAAGTTACATTATCTTCAGGTCAACATGTTTTTGTGGATTCTGTAAAACAGTAACGTTACTACAATTATTAAACTCTGCAAGTCATGATGTTCTTTAGTTTGTTTCGGATATTTAAGCGAGATGCTTCCAGCGGAATTCAGAGAATCTAAGTACTTCGAAAGTTTCGACAAATACATAAAAGAGTAAGTTTAAAACATAATTTGGAAAGTTTTTCATATTTTTCTTAATTTCTATTTTCTATCTACTTTTTATAGAAATGTTTTTATAGCGCTTAAATAAACACAAAAGCTAATGAGACACCGTATAGGTTTGTTTATATTTTGTAAACATGGTAAAATGCCAATATTATGTTATTTCTATCAGACATTAGTTTATTACTAATGAGAAAAACTAATAATACGGGTAAATACGATCACATAAATACTATTTATGTGATCGTATTTATTTACTCCTATCGTAATTATTTGGCGGACAAAAGGTTTTCAAATATTAATAAACAGTGAAGCTGTTTTGTTACAATAATACTCCCCCCCC